TACAAAATCAAAGGGTGGTGACAATGTCACAATGGTTTGCAATTATTGTTCTGGTAAATGTTTTGAGTTAGTTATGGCGAAGACTGCAGACTGGCAGTCAAAAGCTTGTGTTAAATAAATATTTTATGAATTACGATCAGATAACATTTATTAATATTATTTATGAATAACCCTTTTCGCGCTTTCAGCATCTTTAATCTGCAAAATCTGTCTACAAACTCCTAATTATCAGATAACATAACTCAAGAAACAAAACAGTGAAAACACTTAACCACACAGAAAATATCTTTAAGGAAACCTGCCTCGAAAAAATTTTGACAGTGTTGCAATTTTTATATAGCATGACGTGAGGCATGATGCTAACACTCTCAGACTCCACAGCGCAATTGTTTGCACGCAAACAAAGTACTCATTTTCAAAAGGTTGATATTTATTTGTTTCGTACTTTTTCGTTATCTACAAGGTATGAATACACAGACTATGTAGCGCTAAGTCAGATGGCTTCATGAAATACTAAAACTGTCGGTACCAGTGTGGGTTGTACCATTTGTACCAATGTGAATATTGTCACATGATAATGCTTATCATGTAATTTTGCATGTATTAAATATTATTATACTATACTTATTCATATTAAATAGCTTACATGCATGAGTAAGCAAATAGTTTAAAAGATTAAGATGTCCCACAATTAACGTAGCGGACATGACTTGGTTTGGCGTTGGCCGATTTGTGGTCACTGAGACTTGCTTCAACAAACTGTATTGCATAGGGGAAATGAGTCGTAGTTTTGTAGTTAGCTTCCCCTAGCAGAGCGTATAAAAGCCTGAGCACAGCTAGACAATTCATGCATTATTCATAAGGAGAAAGCCTGAATAACATCACAGTGAAGATATAGAAACTATAAGTTAAAGAAAGATTTAAAAGGATTATACAAAGGCGAAGATATATTAAAGATAAAGACTTGTCAGGAATTGAAGAGTTGAGCTCAGTCGTGATATAAGTTTGAACAGTATTAAGAATTATATTATATATATTAAGGAACGTTATAGAGACGTTAATTATTGAGTAATATATAAGACTACAAGTAAGAAAATAAATATATGATTGAAAGTAATTGGTTTCACAATCTTTGTTTCGAGCAAATAGAACCAAAAGCGCGGCCAAATAAATTAGTAAGGACCGGCTCGTAACAATATGCTGTGGTTATAATTACTACCTGAAATGAACAAGCAGAAAACTTGACGAAGGGCCTTCGCTCGAAACGCTGAGTTCTGCTTGTTCATTTCAGGTAGTAATATAACCACTCAGCACAGCAGGCTTCATGAAAGCATGACGTTTGTAAGTTGCGATTGTATTACAGCTTTTCGATGCTGTTCCTGTGGGTTGCGGCAGTTTGAGTCTATGACGTATGCTATGATGAATTCATTAACAGCAATTGGCAGTTTGCAGTAACTAACAATCGTTTGACATTTGTTTCACCATTAACCATTTCACATTGTTTTCTTGTCATTTTGCCGGAGCTGAGAAAACATAACTCCTGCTCCGGCATACAAAATTCTGCTCCGGCATTGGAAAAACTGCCGGAGCACTGGCAGAACTCCGGCGCACAGCACTAAAACATATGAGAATACACTGTATCTAAGAATTCACCAGTAGGTTCATGACAGTGATTGTTCAAGAGATTTAAATTAAAGTCACCCATCAAATAGCATGTTTTGTTTTCTTTAGAAATTTTTCCCAAAAGTGTATTAAGACTAGTTATAAAATCACCAACAATTTGATTAGGTGGCTTATAAACAATACCCACGATAATATTTTTCCTTTTGCTATTAACTATTTCTGTAAACAAAGACTTAAGAGTGAGTGTCCGTAAATCTCGAGAATTGGGCGACAAATTGGAAAATTCGAAATTCCTTTTATTTTACCCATAGTATCCACTGAGTGAGCTATTTTGAAAAATATAGTTCAAAAGTCGCAGCTCCTCTTATTTTTCGTGAAATTACCTAAACATGATTTTGGGACTTTTAAGTCAATTTTCATCAGTCAAAATACAGGATTTTAAAGCGTTCGTGACAGCTACCTATCAAACATATTACGACCATTTTTTAGTATAATCTAAGACCACCTCTATATTTTGTCTTAGCAGCAAAATCTTTTTTTATTCCAAAATCTTTCTTGACATTTAAAGCTAGCTAATATTTGGTGTTTACAGTTCACAACAGAAAGGCAAATTTTTGTCAATTTCAATGTGTTCAAATGGACCGTGGTACATGACAAATTGCAACGAAAATAAGACTAACTTGCAAAGTAGCCATCTGTTTATAACATATTAAAAAGTCTCTGGCGGCAAGCAAAACCCGCACCAGTGAGAAGTCAAAATGTTGATGTTATTTTTAGATTTTGCCTGACAACACGTTTGTACATTACAACGGTAATTACAGTGACAGTTTTGTCGCATTTCATTAACAAAAGAACGCGGAATAACGAAAACAACGCTATTAATTTTTAAGACAAACTTTAAAAGAGTACATTAGAGATCTGAGTGATGAATGCGTTTTTTAAGTTCATGCAAGGGAGTATTTTATCTGAGATCAATCAATAATAGAGGCCAGCTAGTACAAACGCGTCACATTAAACCAGTCAATCTATAATTTTGTTAACGAAACTAAAATTGGCAATTCACAAAACCAATTTTAATTTAGTAACCAGTTTTAATTTGTTTATTTACTATGCCGGGGGGATGAAGATGTCTTCAAAAAGGGGCATATTTTTTCGGGGCCCTGTTGGAGTTATCGCAATATTTTCGACGATCCCACCCAAAGGATACTTCAAAATTTCAATGCCGCCCAGAAATCAGAACCCAAGGAGTTGAGGTATTTTATACTCAGCATTAAACTAGTTGACAAGGACACACTTTTCTTCCACAGTCAGAAGGGCAGTTGAGAAATTTGTTTAGGTTAGTGACTTCATTGCGGGCGCCACGCCATGGTTATACTCAGAAACAGCGTTTTCAGAGTCTCATGTACACACCTTTTAGTAGGGTCATGATAAATTATCATGAGGCCCCGCCTCACCAAAACATTGAAATATTTATATCCCCCTTCTGTATATACAGAGAACTTTTAGAGCCCCGCCCCTTAATGCCTGAAAATATTTTGGTGCCCCCTTAACATCTTCATACATCCTCGGTATGAGTGTTCCCTCAACAATAAAACTCTTTTACATTTAAACTTTACTAATGCGACGCTATTTTGCTTTAAGACATCGTACGTTAAAACTATATCATTGTTTGGAGCGCTAACTTGATTCGTCAAGTTTTTGGCAAATATAACTAAATTTGTAACTTACTGGTTAAGGGTATAGTCTATAGAAATGTACAGTACAGTTTTCGTTTATCTGTAGCAGTCAGCCAGTGTTACAGGAGCATCCGGAAACAGCACTTTCTAGGAGCTTGATGTAAGGTAATTTTGTGTCCTTCTTCTTGCCAGACATTTCTGGAACATCGAGGTTAAGTTCTTCGCATAGGCGTTGAAGCATATCCATTTTCATTTTTTTCAGAGTATTACTTTTCACCATATCACATACATTATATTGATCAAAAACTTTAGGGTGTTGTAGTTGCAACGATGACAAAACTTTGTTTCTCATTTCATGAAAATTATCCTCTTCTACAGCAGCCGCAGCATCTGCTTCCGTTATAGTGATCTTTTGCTGTCGGACCTTTGCAGCCATGCGAGAAAAGAATGAGGAAACTTGTTCAACATAAAGAAACTCCGTGACACTGAATAGCCGGTGACCATCCTCCCCGCGCGCATGCCTCATTTCTTTCGATACAACGTCCGCTTTCATTTTCCGTCCTGTCTCTTGGCCGATGTTGAACTCACTTTATACGGCAATTTGTCGTACGACTAATGCGAAATTAAAGATAATTGTAGTGGCTTTAATAGATTTTTGTCGGATGATACCTTTACATTTGCCCAAACTAACTTTTTCGCCCATACTTTTTAGTGTCCACCATGTCTATTGCCACACCCATTACCCCAGGGAATGTGTTAGAAAAGCATACACGGTTACCTTGGATTTTCGATAAACTTATTCTTTTTCCTTTTTCAACATCATAAGCTCGCCATGTAACAATATTTCTTCCTTTGAACTCAAAGTTGTTCAGTTTACTTATTCCAGGGATTTTATCTAGCTGAGCGACGAAAGAATCATTGATGCACGGTACTACAGCCACTCTTACTCCCTCGACACCACCATGTGATAACAGGGCATTTTTCATTTCTTCAGCATTTGTAACGTCGTTACCCTCGTTTACAAACAATCTGATATGACACTTGCAAGTAGCGGCAAGACGGTCAATGTTGTCTTGGCGATGTGATGGCATGCAAGAATTGTGCTGGCTGAGTGATAACATCCGGCATTGTCTTGGCGGAAAAATGCTCTCTTCAATTTCGGATTCTCGGTTTCCAAGGTCTTTAGGACATGCTGCATGATTAACACAATGGCAGCACTGTCCTGGCTACAAGATTCAATGATATGAATGAAGCTTTGAGACTCTAATTGGCCATTCGATTTTCGAAAAACGACAGAGATATGCCAGGAGATTCCATTTTTCCCAAACCAATCTGACTGTGATTCGCGGTATTGATGGGGAAGGAACTTCATTGCCCAGTCATTCACTATGTACACTGTCTTCTCGTCTTTTAGGAGATTAATCACGTCTAGTCTGGCTTGGTCTTGTTGAACACTCCGAAGTTGATGGCCTTTCCACAAGTTGATGGCTCTCACTGCAGATGTGAATAGATACAGGGTTTCGTCTCTTTCTTCCTCGATTGCTTGTTCTATGTTCTTTAGCGTTAAGTCAAGACTTTCACACTGCTCACACCTTTCGTCATGTTTATGTTTGCACTTGTATTTGAAATCTTTATCTGTGATGTCGCTTAACACATACATATAGCAATGGTCAGGGACACAAGCGTTGTCACTGACATGCACCTTAAAATAGAATGCAAAAATGAGAACTAAAACATGGCACATAAAGCAAATGCCCGACAATGTACTCTACTGTACTGTAGAGTGCCTACTGCATTCAGGAAAAATTATGTTGAGATATAATATTAATATTAATGTAATAAATTTCATACCAGGTTTGTAAAATATATAAATACGAAGAACATATTTAATGATTTTGCCTTGTTTAATTGGTTTGTTACCTTGTAATCTCCTTTTAGATAAAGCTTTCCCACTTTCAAAGCCTCTTGCATTTCTGCTGCCCAATTTTCGCCATCTTTCTTTAAAGGTGAGATAGTCAGCACAACGGTGCCCAAGTCATTAAAGGATCGCTGTCGAGACCTTGAAGAGATTTACGATGGGTTGCACTACATTCGTCTAGTATTACTGAAAGATTGAAAATTGTTTTCTTTGCAGTACTGAGAGTATTGGTTCACAATTCTTTGAGGTATCATGGTGCGGATGATGTTCGGTACTTTAATTGTTTTACCTGAGGACATCTTCAATTCTTTTTCGCCAAACGGCAAGTCTTGCACTAAATGGGGGCTTGTTATAAAGCTCAGAAAATGGTCAAGCTGTTGCTGACATATACAAAGACAAGGCGATGTCTTTAATGGAACTGGAACGCACCTTCCATACTGAAGTCGACGAAGATTAGCCATAGTAAAACGGTAGTGTGTGAGACCAGGAATATATTCTGAAATGACATTAAAATTAGCCGTATCGGACATGGTAGATAAGACTTGGCGCCGAGTATCCCAGCTATCTGCGGTTTTATACGCTTCGGCTAAGGCTTCTAAATAAGCTTTTTCTGCTGGCTGATGGCTTAATCCAAATGCTTTGTTCATCCTTCTGGAAGTTTGAAGCCCTTTCCAAAGATGTGGGGCATTAGTGGATGAAATATCATTTAATTAACACTGACAAGACAATTTCACATGTTTTTTGGATGTATCGTTCTTGTGTGCGCTCTGATGTCTGGTCCCAATTTGACATTGGTCTTTTCAAAGGATGAATATTACAGGCTTCCAAATATTCGTTTAGCTTTTTTCTTCTAGCAACCAATGAAGAAGAAACATCGGTGACGTCACAAGATGATGATGATGTAGTACTTGCAGTGTCTGGAGAGAAGATGCTCCACCTGGTCTCGTTAAGTACAAGTTTATCCATTTCTTCAACAAGTTCATCTGACGTACCAGTATTACTGTCTTCCTAATAAAGAATAGAAGCTGTTAAAATGTAGTGCATGGATCATGGCTCGTGATAAAGTTAAAATTGTTTCTT